GAGGTGCTTCCGATATTTTGGTATTTTTAACATTGATAGAAAAGACATTAGATGTGAATATTCGTAAATTCAATACGTTAAACTGAGACAAATTTCTGGGGTCATCAATTGTTGGTCATCAGTTAGAGAGAATTTAGCGTGTCTGTTACATGTTGGCATAGACTAACATGACTTGTGTTTCTTAAATAGTGTTTCATTATCGACTGTCAAAACAAAGTCTCTTTGTTTCTCTTTCACATACCGGTACATGTAATTCCACACACAGAACTCAACGACTTACTAACTATATTACCCGAATTTTCAATCTACCTTCATATATGGAAATTATGCCTACCATTTACGACAATGATTTTCCATCCGGTCCGGTGAGCAATCACCGAATTTTACTCACAGATAATTTGCTCATCATTTACCAACTTCGATTTTTGAGATTGATATTCAAATTACGAGTATGAAATATAACATGTATATCTATTGTTAAAATTACAGACGATGACGTCATAGACAAGCAATGCCTACTATGTTTATAGCACGGCAACCATTGTAAAATAAGATTGTCGGTGTTAACTAATCCACCCCTAGACTAGATATCTACAGTGTTTTGCAACATTTACGTACCGAGCCCGGTGTATTGCTTTAGTAATTGTTAACGACTTTTGCACTGCCTTCTAATTTGTGTAACCAGAGCGCGCTGTCATTGTCTGCTGGTGCATATGATTGACGATAACGTATATGATCACGATAACGTAATACCCCCGGCGTCGAGCCCACGGGACTGAATAAGTTGGGTGTGAGGTAGGGGTATTGCCAGTTACACTGTGTGTACATAGAGTTAAAAAAAAGACTCCACGGTGTGTATCACGCATGGCTGGTGCTAATTAAGTGTGTTGTCGTTGTCATCCAATCACGGTATCGTTTATTATCAATCAGATGAAAAAACGATTCGCACCGTAAATACACCGTTCTGGCGTAGCGTGTAATGCCTGTGCGATGTACTAGTTTTCTGAGGGGTGGGGACGTGGCGCCCTTCAGGGTCGGTGTCTATAGAGGAACTGTGAATATTGGTACAAAGTTTGCGGCGCACATGTGCGACATAGTATAGTATAGTATATTTTATTTGACACTAAATAATATATTTTGTTACATTATCTGTGGCCAAAAGACATTAAATATAATAAAACACAAGTACACACACGAGACAAAAGAAAATACATAAATAACTAAAGTCTAAGTAAAATTACTTATAGTAAAATAGTATGCTGTCAATAAATTTGCTAGCACTATTGGCAATGAACCCATCTCTCGTATAGAAGTAGATTTAACGGGTAACCTAGCAACGCTTGTTGGTGTAGGTTTTTTTTTCAATGGTATTCTAATTAAAAGTCTATGCCACCTTGAAAACGAACTGTTTTCTTCAATAAATTTCATATTTATCCCACATATGTGATATATATTTTGTAATACATGTAGTTATTTAGTCTATACTGGGTGCATTGAATCATAGTGGGGACACACCCCTATCAAACCGGAAGTCAGGTGCCCCACCCCATCGACGGTGTACTCATTGACGTAAGTAAAAACTTTATCGATGGTCAGTTTCATATACGGTCACCACGGTCACTGTTTGCATTCAAGTTTGCACCACTTGACTATGCAATCAGGGTGTCCAGTAAATCGAATAGATACTAGTACTACAAATGCATTGTGGGATAAACGAACCATTCGGAGTATTTCAGTCGCCATGGCACGACTCGCTGCGACCTTTGATGACGTAGGCGGACAAGACATATCACGCGACACTCCCTGCCCGAGAAACCTGCAAATTTATCGCTTCTATGATTGGTTACGTTTATTCATTGAAAATACTCTAGTATAACATATATAAAGACAGTGACATGATATAATTTAAACAACCATAAAAAAATATTTACATACGAAAAATAAAAAATAAAATCCAATCTGTTAATGCGTTGTAGCGCTCAATATTTTCTAAACTTCGATTTAGACTAATCACAGTCACTCTACTGTGGACTAATTGACATTTGTTGCAATCTTCTGTACTAGTAATTTAAAGCGACAATCGGGTCTAATTGTTCGTGTTCCCTCTGTAATTAATTGCAAATAAATCTTACAAATTCAAACGAGAAAGGTCCGTGAAAGAGGCTCGACACACCGACAAGACATGGCAAAGCAAGCATCATCGGGTCTAGTCAGATATGGAAATGTTACTTTTTGACCGTGTGCCTTGTAAGAGGGGAGGCAAGGGGGTAGCTGGTACAGTTTTACGGGAAATAAAAAGGGCTTTTTACAATTTACAAGGAAAAAATACGTTTTTACAGTTTGCAGTGAAAAGTGAATTTTGCAGTGAATTGTGTCATCTAGTCGTTTTATAGTTTCGAAAATGTAATTTCCCTGGATTATTCTTTACGACTTTTTTTATGTAAATTCTTGTACGTACCGAGAAAAATGACACATTTTTACGGTGCAGTGTACGAAAAAATATTTGATTGATTACGTTGTACGCCTGTGGTTACAGAATTACGGAATTTATTTTTTCAATTTACGTTGTACGAACAAAAAAATATTGCTATTACGTTGAACGAAAATAACCCTTGCCCCCCCCTTGTAATTAAGTTTGATCAATATTCACAAACGCCGTATTCTGCTCTTTTCAGTTAAAAAATGAATCCTAGGCTAATACTGATACAGTGGTCAGCGTTCAACTTTGAACTCGTCGACACCGTGTCACCCACATCGTCTTCCATCGTAATTAAATCACGCAAAGCCGAAATCATATCATCGTTGGGTGCCTGTGACCTTGGCAGTCAGAGACCTTCTGAAGTCAGAGAGACACCGTGTTACAGTGTTTGTTTGTGTTCCTTGCCAACTGCGTGACAGTACTTATGGCTCAAGGGCGAAACGCTACTACCCGGTGACGTCACACGTCAGTGCAAGTCAGGTTTCATGTGGTTTCAAGTTCCATTTGCGTCAACTGTGAATACGGTTACTGAAAAAGTAGTAACCTTGTACTGGGCACAAATCAAACCCAGGTGTGTTTAGCCTTATGCAGCGACGTTAAAAATACATTTCAACGCCATGCCATATACTAACTTACACCATGGAGGTAAAATAAACCTCAATGCTTACAAAGTTACAACTTGACAATAAACTCGAAATAGTCGGGTAGTACGCAAAAATAAGCGAATATACTATAAATTGGTTGTCACCGTGACTATTTTCGGTGGACGGGCACTGTGAACATTTGTCCGCTAAATGTGCGTTCTTATTATTATAATTTATATCACAAAAATAAAATTGGATAGCAAAATAGCCGCGGCTTGTTTCTATTTAATCTGTAAACGTATTTGTTGATGTATATGGCAGCAGACGGTTCCATTTTTCAAGTTGGTGAAGGTTAACGAATTGTATTTTTTAAAAGCCAATGGAAATGGGGTACGTTGTATCGTGATGAATTCATTCAGTTCGAATTGGCCGGGCATCCGGTGCTCCCGGATTCGGCCCAGGGCTCTTTACATCATAGAGTTGATATATAAGTAACATAATAGCAGTTTCCTCTAAGGTAGAAACCTACTTCTAATTTTCGAGAAAGTTGGTCATAAATCGCATGACAATATTCATTTGTTTATTATGTACAATCATGGAGATATTGTCCCACGAATTAACATTATTTTGTGTGTTAAAGTTATGTATTTTTGTCCTAATATTTTTTAAAAATTGTTATTTTCAGAACAATTCCAATATTAAAGAAAAGTTGCATTTTTGGAACTTTTTAAAACAAAGACTTTAAAAATAATTCAGGACAACAAAAAATACCCCATCATTAACAATATATGATTTTTTTTTCACGCATTACGAGATCAAATCAAAAACTCATTTCCGTAACTATTTTTTATTGTCGTTCTCGATCGCTACTGTGTTATTACAAGAACATACGATATACACTACAAGTGAGTGAATCTGAGTCGAGTATTTCTAACTGCACGGAAACTGAACGACGATTTCACTGGTCGGATACTAAGACTTCGAACGTCACAAGTATCGAACTACATTCTGCGAGTGTAATCACTAATATTTTCAAAACAAGGATGAAGACGAGTCATGTACATACCTACAAATCTGCAAAGTTTCGGATTATTTGATCGATACAAAATAGAAACAAATTAATTTAATGGACATGAACCGCGCACAACATTGTAAATAAATAAATATTTTTTTTAAAAATTAATTACAGTAATTACAATTACTTGCTCGGGTTTTAATTTGTTTATTATTGACTTAAAGTAGAAGCCAACTCATAAATTTTGAAAAAGTTGGTAATAAATCGTCTGACAATTGTACCCACGGTACAATGAAATAGCATTATTTTGTGTGTTACAGTGACGTAATTTGAAAAACTTGTGTTAATATTTAAAAAAAAAAAATCAGAACAATTCCACAGTGCACAATGTTAAAGAAAAATGGCATTTTATGACATTTTTTTAAACCCAGATTTTTTAAATAATTGAGGAAAACAGAACAAAACAAAACATTCACAATGTATATTTTTTTCAGCCTATGTCACCAACCTACAATTTGAGATATTATGGGAACCTATGGTAAAAGCGTTATAATACTGTCGACATGGCAACTACTAGTATTCATTTTCTCGAAAATTGGGCTGGTGATCCGGAAGTACAATCCATTGGAAAATGAATAGATTCTGGATATTTGCATTCATGAGTAGATTGCATTTTAAAAATAATACAATTTATGCTGAAGCTATATCCGTCCTTGTGGGGGCGCTCTCGGTGATCTTCGGATATATTCGACCTGTGTTCGCGCTTGTTATTTGTTGCTTGTTGGCTTGGAGCCCATGGCAACGAAGCTGGCCATGCAAATTGTTTACGTAGTGACGTTCCTAACCAATCAGCAATGCCGACATATCGGATATAGTCGTGAACGGCACTGTGTATCTTTATTATTCGAACGAATAGCCTGAGCTCATTCCTGTATGACAGCATAGGCAGCCACCTAACCGAGCTGTGGATTTTATTTCGCTGTATTTTGTTCCCGAATTATCGTCTTTATAGGTGTGTGTCATCGGCATTCAGTGAGCTTCAAAAACAGTACATGGACTCATAAGGGACACACACACGGTTCGTAGAACGACAGAACAAAACTAAGACCTTCTTTTCTCGAACGCCACCTTCCATTGCCATTTCCGTCCAGTGCACATTCATTCGATAAACATGGGCTGCAAGTCGTCTAAAGTGGCTGTCGTCGCCGACACCAACGACACCTGGGTTGATTCGGTAGACGTGAACAAGAAACCGTCGAGTGGCAAACCACGATCGGGAAAGAAAGCCAAAGGAAATGTATTCCTCGTCCAGGAATGCAAGTCTGGTGAAACGCTGAGATCGGGCTCCGACTCTTCGCTCGACGATTTGCCGGAGGGACCCACAAGAGCCGTGGGGTCAGCAACAAGCAAGATTTCGTCCCGTACTTGCGACAGCGGTTTAGGCGAGGACTATTCGCATGTTATTACGGAAGGTTCCGACCCTCAAAAACAGAAGCTTGCCGGAGATCGGCCGGACACTCCAGGTGAGAAAACAAAATTAACACATGATCCGGGTGATTGTTAGATCAATCGTATCGGCAGCACGATTACGACTTATTCTATAGGAATATCTCTATAATTGTCACGTATATTGATGATTTGATACAAGTCACACCAGAACATTTCGGTCTGCTCGTACACAAATATTAAGTAACAATAACGAAGGCACGATCTGAACACCGGCTGATAAAAATTGTATTTTTATTTCCGTTTCAAAAAAATATCAGAATGAATTTGTCTATACTTTAAATTCAGTAAATGGGTAACAAATGTAACATTTTCTTCAAAATATTTGATAATTTAACGGAAATTTTTGTATTTATTAATTTTACCATGGTAGTGTTTCATTTTTTCAGGCTTTGTAGCTGTGTCGCCGCCATGTTGGGGTCACGGGGTCATCAAAACAACTCGTTACCATAAACGTTGCCATGTATGCATTTATGGAGGGCAGAAAATTAAATAATATTTAAATATATATATACGTTTTCTATTTAGAGCTTGAATACTTTTTTTAAAACCGTTTTATTTTATTTTGGGGTTAAATTAAATAGAAATAATTCATTAAAAATATAAAATCTGTGGGAATATGTCTTGTATTTAGATAATTACTATTTGCTATACATTAATCTAAAATATTTCTAATTTGACATTTTAAATCTTGTTAATGTCTTTTATGCTAATAATAATATTTTTTAAATATATCATTTTATGCTAATTATTATTTAATTTTTTTTTTACAGATTTTATGCTATCTGGTCAACAAATACAAGTACGACAGCGTAGTGCCAAGAAAAACCGAGACACGGCTTCTATTCTTGAAGAGTTACAACAGCAGGGTTTACTGTCCTCTGTACCGGAACGACCGCAATCACGGGCTGTAGCATTTGAGGTAATGCTGTCTGGTGACGAAGGATTGGCACCAATCAGAAGAGCTCCACCCCGGCTGGCACGACTCAAGAAAAGACATAAAAAGAAAAAGCACCTTACAAAAGAACAGTTGGAAGAAAAGTTAAAAGCCGCAGAAGAAAGGCGAAAGGTGTGTTTTGTGTTATTTCTTGTTATATTTACAAAATACATTTAGATGTATATTAGTAAAAAGGTCAAAGGAAAAAAAAGGAAGTGTTTTTTGGTCAGTGTGAATCCTTTAGTATGTAAGGTCATTTTTATTATCCCGGTACTACTGCTATATTCACAATATATTTTTCTCTGTTCTGAATTTATGCGAATAATGAGTTGACTAAAACTGTTTACAAAAACTTTTGGGATTGTTCTCAGTCAAGCAACCTATGTAATTACAGTACCATATTTATACAACATTTAGACATTTGTTGAAATGCCACATCCATTGGTTGCACTGCTTCATGCAATACAACATGTGTAAGACCCCCCCTCTCCCTAATTTATAATTTCTGGAGGCTACATGCAGAACACCTTGTTTTGTGTTTTTGTCAGAATTTTAGAAAAACATTGAAAGAAAATTCAGTTTCATGAAAATCTTAAATTGAATGAAACAAAAATAAAAAGCTGCTATAAATAATAAAATTGACCAGAAGAAACATTTGTTTGTTGACATGCAATTTAATTTAAATGTGTATGGATTTGATTTGATTTTGATAAATTAGTAATGTTGTTTTCATCTTCTCATTTTGCAGGCTAAAGAGCAGGAAATGAAGGAGAAATTACAGGCACAACTTAACAAAGACAAACAAGTACATGATGCCTTGGCAACTTTTGAAAAGTCACAAAAGGCAGCCGAGGAAGCTATAATCGACAAAGTCGATCGTGCTGCCGAAAAACGAGAAGCCCAAGCTTTAGCGTTGAAGGAAAAAATGCAAAAGAAGAAGGAACATGCCGAGCGAGTTCGGCAACTTAAACTGCAACGACAAGCAGAGGCAGCAGCCAGAGGAGATAATAATGAACAAGCAAACGAACACTTAGAAGGTTTTCAAGTAGATCCAACCATTCCTGTCTAACAAACAATTCTGAGAATTTCGCCCTTTATTTGAAAGAATGTTATACAAATAGTAAATAATTGTACATAAGCAAAACTGAAATAATTAGAAAAAGAAAGTACTAGTATTTAAAATTGTTAAATTTGAATGTTATTCTGCAAATACAGGGCGAAAACAATTTGTAAGTTAACAAACTTCAAGATTTTTCAGGGGTAATGGACATTTACATAATTCATAAAGTTGCAGAGAATTTGTTCACGCTTACAATACGCCATGGAAACTGCATGTTTCAATATTAGTGATTGAAACTGGATGGTTATTGGTGCTAACTTGTTATAATATTTAGACAAGAACTGGGAAAAATGCATTTTTTTTCTTCGATGAATGCTTTGAAAGACGTCACTTTATAAAAACAGTTGAAATATTAAGTAGTATCAACACGTAGTTGAGTCTCCGTATGTTGGCAGGCGATCTCATATAGCGTAATTTGTAACAAAATTTCACTTGGTTTGGTTAAAACTCATTTATATGTGAAATTGTTTTGATATAGAGCAATATATAATAATTAGAATCATAAACATTAAGATACTTCACAGGGTAGTATAAGTATTTTTGATTGTATTCCGTCCATAGGTGATTAGTTTTACTGAGAATTTGGAGATGTAGTCAGCATTACCGGTATTTTTTTTTTGAGATTTCAAAGAAAAAAAATTGTAAATAAATCAGATATTTTTTTTTTTGAATTTTGTATTCTTATAAATATAGAGGTAGTTTTTAAAGATAAGATTCTAAAAAAACAAAGGACGTAAACTGTTTGAACTTTTCAAGAGACAAGTTTGCTTATTTTAACGACCGTCCAAAGAACATGAAGCTGCAGTGACTTTCATGAATTCCGTTCCTGTGAATGCCCTAACGGCAAATATTTTTTAGCAACAATAATTTAACAGTTTACTGTGGAAGCTGCCAAAGATCTGGAGAACAGAACAAACAAAAGTTGCAGTGTACTGGTGTTTTCTCTGTTAACACTGTTATTTTTTTATTTTTAATGTATTGTTTTGTTTTTTTTCAATACGAGTATGTGGCGTTTTGTGAAACCATTCCCTGGTGGAATATAAACACACATGGGATCACAATAAAGAAGTGTGCTTAATTTATGAAAAAAAAAGTATGTTTGTTGTTGTTGTTGTTTGATTCAGAAATCCCTTAAAACGTTGCTAAATTATCAGTGGTTGTTGAGTTGTGTCCTGTTTGATATGGAACTCGTAGAACGTGTGAAAAATATAACGTGTGTTTACATGAAATTCGAACACGGGCTGTCCATCTACAAACCTTTTCCATTCATCATATGATATATTAGTACATAAGATCGTTCACAGTAATTGAGAAAAAAAATCACAAGGAGCCCAGTAACTATAATAAAATGTACGCCTTCATAGTTTCTATGCTGTGGGAGGTGTAAACAAGTGTAAATTTTTTACACTAGATACAGCCAATTACAACCATAGAGACTAGGCGCACAGTTAATTATAGTTAATGGGCTCCCTGTGAAAAAATCGCTTAAAAATTATTTTTGTTTCAAAAATGCTGTTATTTTAACAAACACAAAATACTTATTTTTTTAGAAGAAAAACTGAAAAAACACCCCTGTTCATAATTAATAATTTGTATAATCAACTGTTATTTTTGCAAACACAAAATAATTACTTATTCAGAAGAAAAACTGAGTCCATAGAAATCCATGTTGAAAAATGGCAGGGCTTGTAACTACAGGTAATCTATGTAGCCAAGGACAAGTGAAATTGCCATTTGGACAAATACTGAATAGTATTAACTTACTTGCATAATTGACAGATATTTTAAATATATAGGCAATGTACATTTTGAACACGCAAGTAAAAACTTCTTCACAAGTTATGATATACATGTATATCTGTCTTGAAAGCTGCTCTCAAAAATCCACAATAAATGTTTCCATTTATATAAATAATTTTCAGTTATTGCACCATCAGTCCATTTCAGTGCGGAAATAGGCGACGTGTACGCGAGGAGGGGGGTGGGGTGATTTCAAGCTTGCTCAATTTAATTGCTGATTTTCCTGGTTTCTGGCATTCTGGTAAACTTTCAAACATTTAAGCGTTGTTTTTACACCAGATCGCACTAGTTTCTATGGTTACGGCGGAATTCAAAACTTGTCTATTGAAGCTTAATTTTATCATAGACCTTAATGATTTTATAGAATCTTTCAAATTATTTTTTGTATTAAACACTGAATCAAGCATTGATTATTTCCAGCATTGAGTGTACTAGTATTCTCTGTTTACTTATCCAACTCAAACCTATTGAATCCTAAACAGTACATCAATTCTGAACTAACGGTAGCTGCAGAGCTGTAAAAGTCAATAAGATACCGGTAGTTTGATTACATTCAATATATAGCTACTCATTTTTATGATTCTAAGCAAGTGAATATAGGCCATCAATGACCTCTATTGTTGCACAAAAAATCGAGTGACAGATTTAATCCGTTTAAAGAGCCAATGTACATAAATATATTTTTAGTTTAGTTCATTGGGATTCAGTATTAATTTCATATCAATAAATTATGCATAGAAAACACGACTTTACTTTTTTTTTGGTAAAAATTCAAATAATTAAAGTGTACAATGAATCCATTGTTAAGGAGTGGACCATTAATCATGTTTAGAAATATTATATTATTTTATTATCTGGGGTGCAGCTAGATTATTTTGTTCAATATTAATATATTATGGTGCAGATTTTACTTTGCTCCTGACATAAAATATTTGTTAATTATGCTCGTACACTGTTAAGGTACTTTGATGAAGTAAGGTTTGATGGTCCAAATACTGTAGAATATTTTATGTTCGCTTGAAATTTATTTTCGCTTTTTTCGCTGAAGGGATGATTCTGAAAATAAAATCCAGCGAATATACATTTTTTCCTATATTTTACATTAATCTCATCAAAAATCAGTGAAAATAAATTCCAAGCAAAACGCCCAAAATACCTTTTCAGCGAAAATTAATTCCAGCAAAAATAAAGTATTCCACAGTATGTTAAAATAAATGCAACAGCTAAACATCAAAATGTTTTTAAGAGTTTATAGGTTTTAATTTTTTCATCATTAGTTCCCTTTTTTTATCACAAATTTTACGTTTATAGTCTGCACTTTTCTTTCAGAAGATTGGGACAAAAATAGCAAAATTTTTTGAGTAAAAACTAAAAATTGAGTAAAATTTTGTCTGTTGGCTCCAAAATTAAGATTCATTTCCAGTAATATTGATGAATATTAGAAAAAAAAGTGCAGACAAATTTGGGGGAGAAAGTCTGGTGACGAAAAGGTTAACCATTGCCTGTAATTATATACCTACAGATAGTGTATTGATTCTGCCAAAAATAAGGTTAAGAGCAGTCACGACACAATTGAATATTCAAATTTCACACACGTTGAATAAATCGCATAAATCCCTATTAAACAAATAAGACACGTTACAAATGTATGTGTGATGATAATTAACGGTAGTTTTAAAGCTGCAATATAATTGAAATCATATATTTGATAATATTGTTGTTGGATGCTGTATACCAAATTGGACTATGATTTATTATAGACTAAACTGATGACAAATCAGAAGCACTATTACGCATGTGCAGTGTTAGGCCAGACTTTTATTATCCCTTGTTTCGTGAACCCACCGAATAAACAGGAGCCAAAAATGAAATAAAAATAAAATTTTATTTCACCGTAATTTCTCGCGCCCGCCGACTTGTAAGTGCAAAAAATTGCTAAAAAAACTTATTTTTATCTTCATTTTTTTATCGCCCGCCGCATAACAAACCCAAGTTGCATTTTCGTGGAAGTATCATGATCAAAGTACCGAAGTCTTGCGCAGATGAGAAAAAAGGTTATACATGGAACGGAATTTTATTTCATTTCTTCTCTTCGATCAATGATCTCACTTACACTTCTTTGAGAATCACACAAATCTAATGGAAAAAAAGAATTAATTTTTTTTTTTTTCGCCCTCCTCAAAAAAAATTGCCTCATAAAAATTCGAGAAACAAGGAATAAAAAAAAGTCTGGCCTTAGTTATTGTATGTACTAAAACAACCAGTGCATATACTTATTGAAAACAATATTGAAAATTACATGTTCTCGAGTATATTGGATCTATAAGTATTCCAATTTAAAAATTAATAAACAGAAAAACATAATGTAATTTGTGTGTAATGGAAATATACATACATGGACCTTGCAATCATTAGCTTTCCATGAAGTCTATTGTGGATGAAATACCAGGGTAATTATATGTTTGCCATTTTGTGAGCGACCTGACCTCATCACAATAAACCTAGTCCAATGTTACCAAGGCTATAACCAGTTCTGACAATAGCTTTACAAATAAAAGCTTGGTCTTTAAAAGTACATAGCCCTGGGCTACTTGTTCAACATGCCCCACTTAAACTAATTTAATATAAAATTTCAGAAAAGAAAAATGTATGATGTGGATGCAGTTAAAATGCAAATCCTCAGGGGTAATCATTTGTAACTCGGGGGGGGGGGGTTGTTTGAAGAAAAAACAATTGTTGAATGTAATTCTAAAATATAAAAGAATCATATTTGAAAAAGGTACTTTGGTATTTGTGAATAAAATAATTGTAAAAAAAACAAATACATGTACCTCCAACGTCCCTTAAGATTAAAAATAAACCCCCTTGTGATGCTACGGCAACCACATTTTTTTTCTTGGAAATGAATATATGTGGTTAAATGGGGAAAACAAATTACAGGATGTATTCGATTTCAGGTTTGTTATTATGGCAACCATATACTTTGAATTTTAGAAGTGTTTATACTAGGTACTAGGCAACAGGCTTCACATATGTGTGCTTACCAGTATTTACCCAATAATGCAAACTGCTTGGCCAACAACAACAATAGAGTTAATCTGATTAATCATATCTGATAATATCTCTAAAAGTACAGAATTAGAGGATCAACCATTAATCTCACTTGGGATTTTTTTTTTTAGAAAAAAATGTACCCATCAATGTACAAAGATATATAGGCTATCATTTATCTGATTAAAATCTGATTTATTGTACGGTGTGCATTTTATTGTATTTTATATATTTATTTTCCTTTTACTATGTTTTTTAATTATTTTGTTTGTGTTTTTTGTTTATGTTACTTACTTGTGATTCAGTATTTTTGTTTAACTATTGCCTTGTGCGCTTTCACGATTACAAAAACTCTTAAACTAACAACAAATAAATAATAAATTAAATTAAAATAAAAAGAAAATGTATAATAAAAATAAATAATTAAACACAAAATTAAAAAAAAGCCCAAACTAGGATCTTATTTTAATCAGATTGTGCTTCATTATAAATAGACTGTTGCCATGCGAAAAAAAATCATAAACGTTCATTGACTACATGTGCTAACATGATAATTATATAGTTTATTGTCATGTTTGTATCGCTATGTATGAAATGTCTGTGCTCTGTTGGAGTGATCCCAACTCTGTAAAGACCCAAATAATTTTTTTTTCCATTATTGCTGATACCTGTTTACAAAAAAATATACGCAAGGGAGTAATTACTGGGAGTGACAGGGGGGTTGCTGTAGCAAGAGTAACCCATATAAAAGACTTTTTAAAGGGTGGAAGTCATCGTGCCGCGTCCTGTTCGATATGGGACTCATAGCGACGTATACAATGCGTGTAAAATACATTATTTATTTACATGAAATTCGAACACGCACTGTGGGACGACCACCGCGCGTTAATACATACATACATACACCAGAGTAAATAGTGTTTAATTTTGCCACTATGTACCTTTTTATGACTAAAAGAACAATTTCAAAGCCTTGCTTGACAATCAATGTGAGACAAATTTAAGACTTTTCAATTTTGTACAGGACCTTAGAAAATAAAACTATCTTTAAAATTATATTCCAGAACAAGAAAAGAGATTGATTATTTTTAATGTAGGACACGGTAGCCATTTGTAATAAATTCAACGCTCTCCACAACACAATACAGCAAATGAAAACATAAACACAGACACAATTGACAGTACTTCCACCTTTTTATATATTTTCACAACTATAGCTGTAATAGAAATCATTTAGAAAACCTTCTCATCAATAGCGCTTCAATCAGTCATGCGTGCAATGTACCGGGGTATATGCTAATTTCAATTCAACGTTAAGAATTCATGTTTTAACTGTCATTGTCATTCTCTCCCAATAGGCCTGTTGACCGATGCAATAAAGAGGACAAAAGAAATTCGAATAGTGTTTTATTATGCACCGGCAGACTTAGATATATTGAATTAAAATAAAATCGCCAATAATGATATCCTGTCATTGATATGCTATGGTTTGTTGGAGTATCCAGGTTAGAGTTGTACGAGCTAAGTATGTGTAATACGCTGGAACTGGTCCAAGGTTCTTCACCTGTTAGTACAGTGACCTCTGTTTGGTTCAGGATATCCATTAAAGCGGGAGGGTCGTCATCTGCACACGCGCAGGAATTGAGTCCCAAGCGACGATAATAACACACGCTAAAAATGCAAAGGCTCATGGGTAGACGCTTGTTTGTAAACAATGACACGCTATGGCCATCTGACGCATGCGCAGGTGACGACTCTGCTTTAAAGTATGAATTTTTACTGGTATTTAATTTCACTATTATAATAATTTGGAGCACATTCAGTAGGTTTAAAATTAATAGGTTTACATTCCTGGGTATAAT